TTGAATATATGAGTTTCTTTGGTTTAGGATTGTGGTGGGAAGCTTGGATATGAGTTTGGGATGGAAAAGAGTGAGTTTGGAAGTATTATGAGATATTTTCGTGGTCTTGGACTTTGGTGCACTCTTTTTTTTGTCTGGTGCAGGAGATATTTTCACTACAGTTTTGTCATGCCAGTACAAGTGCTATATTGATAGAATTAGCTCTTGTGATCTTCCTGAAAGTTGTAGCCTTGGATGTTATCTTTCCAATGGCACTGGAATCATGTAAAACGGAGCTCTAAAACTCCAGTTATGGTTGTTTTAGTAAACAAAGGTCTAGTTGTAAGCACTGAATATATCTGCTGCGGTTTTTGAAATTTTTAACTAAGAATATAATCTTTTTAGAAACTCATGTCTTCATAGGATTTGTAGCTTATTCTCTTATCTTTCTTTTGAGACAGGTTTGACCTTATTTGAATGAGTATAACTCTCTGTGTATCATTTTTTTTTATAGTTGTTGAAGAGAGATGTATGCTGTCATAATGTTTTGAGTTGTTAGGCAATGCAAGGATAAAAAAACTGATTTTGTTATGATGTTCTGAGGCGTTGTCATGTAGATTGAAAGGTTGTTTAAGGTTGTATGATGCTATGTGGTAAATTTGGTTCATGTACATGCTATATGGAGTAAATGGTGATTGATTAGTACATGTGTAGTTGGTTCATGTACATGCTATATGGATAAAAAAAATGTGTAGGTGCGCCCACTCATAAAAAAAGAAATAGTGTAGCTGTGCTCCCTAGCAGCACAACCATTATATAGAAAAAAAAAAATGTTGATATGAGTATTTGCAAAAAAGGAAAAAAAAATACTACTCTTTCTATGACCTAAAGCGGAACAGAAAAAATAATAATAAAAATAGTGTTGTTAGAGTCATTGCAAATTTGCAGAACTAGAGGTGGCAAAATGAGCCAGCCTGACCCGTTTTGGCCTGGCCCACTAATGGCCCGCCAAAAACGGGTTGGGCCGGGCTGGCCCACCAATGAAACGATTTGGAAACGTTGGCCTGCCCCGCCTAAGAACAGGTCGTTAAGCCAACCCACATACTACAAAAAGAATTCCAAAAAAAAATGGAAAAAATATATTTTATGTTCAAATAAATAAAAAAATGCTACAAATAAATAAATATAATCATATAAAATTAAAAATGCATACATATTGTACATAATATATGTTCAACAAAAGCAAATTACAAACTTAGAACAAAATTAAATAAAAATTAGTTCACTTACACCAAAATCAAAACCAAATTATAAACTTAGAAATTACTAATAATCTAGTTTTTTTGATAGTCTATAAAACAAGTTCATTACTTATGCAAGTAACTGAAGCCCAATGACTTATGCGGGTTGGCGGGTTGTGACGGGTCAGCCCATCATTTAACCCGACGGGTTGGCAGGTTTGGTAGGTTAAAATGATGGGTCCAGCCTACCAATTTTTGGTGGGCCAACGAGGCCAACTCACAAGTCACAACCCATTTTGTCATCCTTATGTAAAAATATGTGTTTAGCAACCATCTTCACTCCAACAACAGTAACACTAATGTCACGTGTTCAGTTTAAAAGCAACTTAAAAAAAATATAATTTAAAAAAAAATTGTGACATTGATCTTGGTTGACAAACGACACTTGATGTTGATTATTTCAAAGTCACAATTTATTTCAAAAGAATCCTACTTTAATAATAAATGCCATAATAAACTCACATTAGTGAAAAAGTCACGAAAAATTTTATTAACTAAATTATTTGATTGATACTATGATTAGATAATATTAAAATATATTAATTATTTTACAAATAATTTTTTGTTTCTTTGATTACTTTAAATATATAAAATAAAAGTTAAAATTATATTATTCAATTTTTAGAGAAAAAATATTAGAAAAATAGAACACATGTGACATGAAACATAAAGAAATGTTATCTATACTCTTAATAAAGGCTAATAAAGGCGCAATTCCTTCATTTCGTGCATTTGGATCGGACTATCTTGTTTATTTCATTATATTTAACCACCTCTCTCTCTTATCTTAATTTTATTTTTCTTTCTTATTTTTTATTTTTTGTTTAAATAAAATTTATGGAGATACAAATGGTCTTTTTTTCAATAGTTTTATATAATAATGTTAGAAGATTATATTTTGTTACAATAAATAAAAGATTATATTATATTACTGAAGTTTTTAATTATTTTAATTACGTTATTATTTAACATATTGAATTAGATTATATTTCCATATTCATCGATTGCATTACAGTTTTAATTTCTTTGATTTATGAGATATATAGCACGATAATATGATTAGATAAACAATAGTACTGAAAAAAAAAAACACGAGTATTGTCTGATTTCCTTTCATTGCTCCAAATATATAAGTAAAAATAGAAAAATAGTTAGTTGATTGATTTCAATCCTTTGACTGCTTTAAATATACTAATCAGTATTTTAGTCTATACATACATTTCCCAGGATGAATATTTAATGTTGCATAATTAAAATTAAATTCTATAATAAATAAATATTTTAATATATAAATTATATTATAATTTAATTTTGTAAGAAATATATTTTTAAATATATAAATTACATTTTTGAATTTATAATGAAATATTTATATTAATTTTATTTTAAATTAAAATAGATAGACAATTAAAAAAATCAAATCAAATATATACATACAGAAAAGGAATATAGCTTGAGATAGTTGAAAGAAATATTTTTTACTGATTGTTGGAGTAGTATATGAAACGAAACCTTTCAAGAAAGAATAAAGAAAATATTGGAAATGTTTGAAAGAAGAAAATAATCAAAATATTGAAAATATTTAATCGATAAGGTGGAGCGACATCCCGGTGTATTTATAAAAAATTTAAAATTTAAATATTTATAAATTTTTTAAAAATATTAGAATTTAAAATTTTTCTAATAACTTCATATTTTTTCTTCTAAAATGTTATCTCATCTATATATCATTTTTTTCTTTATCTCCATCTCTCATACTTTATTTTCTCTCTTCTTGTCCTCTTTTCCTTCTCTCCTCTCTCTTTCTCCCCCATTTTTTTACTCTCTTATTATTTCCTTTTTTTCTTCTCTCCAACTTGTATTTCTTTTCTTTCTCCTATTTTTCTTTTGTCTCCTTTCTCTCTCCAATTTCTCTTTTATCTTCATCTCTCCCCCTTCTATTATGTCTTCTCTCCTCTTTTTTATTTTTCCTTTTGTTCTCATCTCCCTCACTTCTTTTTCAAGATTGACATGAAAAATATCAATATTTTTTAATTATAAAACATTCAAAATATATTTTTTAATTATTAAACATTATCTAATATTAATTTTAAAACTATTAAATATTTAAAAATTGATTAATATTTATTTTTATACAATTTAATTTAAAATCTCTCTTTCTCTCCCTCTCTCTCTCTTCTATATATATAATCAATTTTATCCTACTAAAAATCAAATTATCATATACAAACTAAGAATTTAAAATTTAAGAAATTTAAATTGACTTATCCAAATAAAATATTTAAAGAATGATAAAAATTAAAATCATAATAATTTAAATCATTTAAATTTCTAAATTTTTCATCCAAATACACCATCAATTTCTAGGTGGGAGACTGAAGATTCCAATTGGTACTACAGGAATGGATTATGTATAAAAGAAATAATAATATAATTTTGACTTTTTTAAAGAAAACAAAACTTTTTAAGAAAATTACATAACATCCAGAAATGTTATGTTTATATAAACATTAAATTAATTATGGATTTTTTGGACACATTAAATTTATGTTAGATAATAATGTTTAAATGATAGAAATTATTCTGAGATTTATTCGGAAAACGCAGTGGGCTATATTTTTAAATTATTTATCTTATTTATTATAATTAATATTCCATAAAATCTATATATTATCTTATTGTGGATCGTAATCAGAATAAATTGGTGGGCACAACAACATTATAAAAAATAAAAAAATAAAAAAATAAAAAATAAATAAAAAGAGAGAGAGAGAGAATGTTTACTAACTGATATTCAAAGACATGCTTCAGCAATGGAGTCCGAATCCATACACCATTCGTGTTGACATATAGTGAAAGTGTTCGTAATTTGTACAAACAGCAAAACCAGTCTAACAAAGAAGAACTTGAAAAAATCTTTACAAAATCATCGTTAATTATTATTTTTAGATAAAGAAAATCATCGTTAATTATTATTTTTAGATAAAGAAAATCACCGTTGATTATATTTTGATTTGTTTTAACCGTCTATATTTTATTCAACAATATTTTGGCACGAATTTTCAAAAAACGAAAATCAACAGAAATTAAGGATAAAAGATTAAATTGTTTATTCTAAAATTTAACTGCCAACAGCATTCATAACAATTGGTGCTTCTGAAACTTCCCATAAAAATGTACACCATTTGTGTTGACTTAGTCAAATCTTCGTATTTTGAACATGCAGCAAAATCAGTCTAGCAAATTAACAAGGTCGTACTCGGAAAAACCTTTGCAAAATCAATGTTAATTATTCTTTTCAGATAAAGAAAATTAGAAAATCATCTTTGGTTATAGCTTGATTTAGCTGCCTCTATTTCAATCAATAATATTTCGGCTCGAATTTTTGAAAACAAAATCAACGGAAATTTAAAAAATATAAGATTAAGTTGTTTATTCTAAAATTTAACTCCCAACATTTCATGGAAAAGTAGTACTTACGAAACTCCTAAAATGACAAAGCATACAACATAAACTGATCAAGAAAACTAAGTCAAGTAAAATGAAAGAGTTGCTGTAATATCCAAATAATTCTATGAACTTAGTTACTATCACTATTTTTTGGACTTAAATGTGAATCAGTTTAACACCAAGAATAAGAAAAGAGAGTTTCTCACTATCAATGCCAAAACCCTTAAGATCAAGGGAACTGTAGAATCTCTCACACACAGAGATCAAATTCTGTTGAAGTTAATAATAATAAAACTGCAAGATTAACATAAAACATATCTAATGTAGCAAAATGGAGAACTACACAAACTGCTTAATCCTCCATAACATAGGGCTCATTGAGGTCGAAGTCCAATGTTTTGGTACCTGAAGATTGACCTGCCTCATCTGCTGCTATTGTTTCTTCCTTCAACAATGCCTCATCCATCTTGTGCACATTACTTGAGGTGCTAGAATTGTTTTCTTCAGCTACAACAGCATCATCTGGTTGGTTTGGCTCATCTATGATTGGTACAATGTTTTTCTCCTTATGCACTGATCTGTGTCCCCCTAAACCTTGGAAAGTTGAGAAAACTTTCCCACATGCCCCACATTTATATCCACCCACTTTCTCTTGACTTCCCACATTCTCATATTCATGGTCTTTTCCCTTTGATTTCAGCACCAATTTCTTACCACTCTTCCCTTTCTCCACCTTTTTCACCTTATTATTATTCCTTTCATCATGATCTTGCACCCTAGTAGTCACAGTCACAGGAGTTACCTCAGCATCATTCATCACATCATCAAGAGCCTCATCCACATCATCATCCACCATTCTCTCAACCCCAGATTCAGATAAACCCTCGCACCTGTTGAGCTTACCACCACCATCATCACCACATGCACCAGCTCCATCACTTCTGTTCCCCACCTTCAGTAAAAGCTTTATCCTCTTCACCTCAGCCTTCTTGCTTGATGAAGATTCATCAACCTTCCTTTTGTCATGCTTGGTTAGAGGTGGAGCACTCTTTGGCAGCACGTCTTCCTTAGGTGCAACATTAACCCTATTGGACTCATGATCAGCACTAAAGTACCTAGCATGAGTGCAAAGGTAGACAAGGGTTTCAGCAGCTTCAATACCACCAATACATTTTCTCCCTCTTTTATCTTTCTTTTGCCATGTGGATAAAATAAAGCTTGAAAGATCAATGGCTTCAGTGTGATCATGTTCATCTGGGGCAATCAATGTATTACCACCACCAACACAATCATCACCATCTCCATTACCATCACCATCGTCATAATCATGATCTTTCATAGTTTTCTCCATAGAATCAGAATTATGGGAAGAATAAGAATAAGATGGAGATGAAGAAGATGAGTGCTTGTTATGAGTAGGAGGGGACACACCTCTCCATGACCTCTCAGGGTGAGATCTCATGTGCCCAAACAAGGCATTCTTGGTAGGGAATTCCTTCTTGCAAATACAACAAATGTTCTTGTCATCGTTGGTGTCGTCGTCATCATCATCACAATTAGCCCTAGTGTTGCTACTATCACCAGCTTTTGAGGGATTAGTGAAACGGACTTTTACCTTCTTTTGGTGCTTCTGAAAGTGGGATCTTCTGTGGCCACCCAAAGCCTTGCCGCTGCTGAAAATCTTGCCGCAAATATCACACTCGCGCATTGTTGGCGATGCGATTTTCACTGCAATTGCTTCATCAGTCATGGGTTCAGCTTCAGCTTTGCTACACCCAATATGAGATCTCTTCATCTTCTCTTTCTTGCAAGATTCCCAGTCATCGTGATCATCCGAAACTGATTGCTTGCATTTATCAATTTCGTTAGGATCCATCTGAGAGAAAAGAAAACAAAGATTGAGCTGAGGTTAAGAAAAGGGAAGAATCAGAAAAAAAAACAACAACGATCAAGAAGAAAGAAAACTGCAAAAATTCATGAACCAAAGAAACCTTTTACCTTAGAGAAACAAACGTGAACCAAAGAAGAGAGAGAGTTTGAGGATATGCGGGATTCAATTTACAGAATCAAAAACAAAGTGGTTGTTGGGTTATCCTGAAGATTGAAAATCGTAGAGAAAGAGGAAGAGGGAAGGAACTTATCCTGGGCTAATTGAGAAGAGTGAAAGAAAAAACACTACTGAGAGAGAGAAAAGGAAAGAAATAATCTTCACAAAGAGATGTGGCAATTAAGTCAGTAATGAATTTTTCGAAAGTATAACAGATTTTCTAGTGCCAATGACTCTTTAATTATCACATTTAATAATTTTGCCTCATATATTGAAATAATTTCTTCTTCATATTATTCTCGTAAGTCTTTGGTCAGAAATATTTTTAGGAGGGCTCCTTTTTATTTCTTTTTATATATATTTTTACGGGTTAGGGCTCATATGTTAAATGTTAATTATCCTAATTTTATTTTTCACCGTGCTTCTCCTATGTCTAATTCTTTTGTGACATATTTTCCAATATCTTGGATTGTAATACTATACTCTCCTTAAATTACACAAAAATTATATACATGTTGAAAATGTATAAACAAATGTTATTAAATAGAGCTTAGTATCAAGAGTTATAAGGTTCTATAAATAAAATGAAGAGTTATAAGGTCTAATATTCCTAGTAACAGCTGCAATAAGAGTAATTAGTTTTTTAGTACTCGAAGTTTCGGTTTTTTTTTTTAAGCCAGTTATAAGACTAAAGGAGCTTAGACACACATCTAAGTTGTTGATGTTCTACAGCAAGAACCAAACTTATGTATTATATAAGATTTGTAACAAATACTGTATAATTATTTATGTATTATATAAGAGTTCTCTAGTACTTATAAATTCCTTGTGAGTTGCCTGCTAATTATTTATAGTATAAAGTTATATTTTACTCTCTCTTTTTTTCTTTTTAACTAGACTTTCTTTTGTTAAGAATATCATGATAGTTATATAATTACCTATAATTTAAACTAACATATTGTTTTAATTTATATATATATATATAGCTGGTCAAACTTTTTTTTTAGAGATTCTGACTCTTGTGTTATTGGTCAACACAACAAAATCAATGCAAATAATAATTTTTTTTATTCTTTTAAAAAAGCCAATTGTTGTTGGTTTTCACAAGAATTTGCATGAGGTCAAATTTTTGTGTGAATGATAATTGACGAAACTATTTAAATATAGTTTTTCTTTTGAGAAAAAATATTCCCTTTCCTCAATGTTAAAAAGTCAAATTTTTGTGCAATGGTCAAGTAGGAAAAATAAAATCTTGTTACCGCATAAAAAGATGAATTCTATTTCAAAGTCCATTGATTACCCATTTACTAGAGTATAATATAATATAGTTGGAAGGAAAGTAATTATCCTTACATAGGATCTACAATTTTATCAAATAATAATAAACACATGTAAATATAATGGTAAAAATATAAAATAAATAGCTTAAAAGATTATAAGTATTTGAAATTATAGAAGGATATATATAATTTGTTTGAGTAGAACATAGAAACAAATTAAAATGGAAAATATTTAAAATTATAAGATTAATAATCAACTCATATATATATATATATATATATATATATCATCGGTGTAACTTTTACTAAGTATTACATCGCTCAATGACTTTATATTAATTGTGAATTTTGTAAATCCAACTGTTTGATTGAAAGTTCATATCACTTTATACATGTATATCAAATTTTGTTGAAATTGAACAACAACTTGAAAGTAATCAAAATATTCATATTTTAATGTATTTAGTTTTGAAATGAATATATTACGTTAATTTTATCTTATAAGAATGAAGTATCAAATCATTTTGGATTAATATAAAATTTTGTATATATAATCTAAGAATAAAGAACTTTCAATCTAACAGTTGGATTTACAAAATTCATATTTAATATAAAGTTATTGAATTGTGTAATACTTAGTAAAAGTTACACTGGTGTAATTATAATCCCCCTCATATATATATATATATATATATATAAATTTCTTTCTTATACAAAAGTGTTTTTCTAGGGATTTCTTCTATCAGAGGTTTGAAAGAATTTTTTTTAAAATTCATATCTAATTCATTTTTATTTATCATAATTATTTAT